ACCCAGAACCCCCAGTCCCTGCCGTGGGTGGGGAGACGGGAGCGGCCAGATGGGCAGAGGTCCTGGGCGCAGGCTTGTCTCCAGCCGCCGGGGGCCAGGTGATGAGGTGCACCAGGCCTGGGCCACCTGTTCGGGAGAGTCGGGCAGAAGGCGGCTGTGGGTATTCCCTTCCCTCCGCTCCCCACTCCGCCCCAGTCCTCAGGAAGGTGAAGAGCCGAAGGCTTGGGGTGCCTGGAAGGGCCATAGCGACCAGCGAGGACAAGGCGCCCATACGGTTTCATAGACGGAAAACCGATTGTTCTGGGGAGATGGGCACTTGTCTTTGTGTGCCTTTGGGATGCGGCTTCCCCTCCCCAGCCTGTTTCTCCGTCTGCCGATACATCTGACCTCAGAGGGTCTTTGTGGGGATGAATGAGATTGTATAGTGGCGCCTGGAACACAGCAGTTCAGTACATGGTGGCTGTCGCTGTAATTTGCAGGGATTACAGGGGTGGGCACCTCAAACCCGCAGTCATCCAACATTGGTGGACAGCCTACTGTGTGCCAATCTGTTAAACGCCTTCCAGTTCCTTCAGAAGCAAGTCATATTGATGTCTCCTCCCCAGATAATAAGAGTGGCTACTGTTTAATTTACAGACAGGAAGCTTAACCCTCAGAGGCAAAAGGACTTGTCCAAGATCCAGCCAGTTGCTACCACCCCACCCCATTCAAGAGGTTAAGGCCCGGTTTGAGCTCCGAAGGCACCCGTAGAGATGGGCCACACTCCCGACTGGGTTCCAGACCGGCAGGGGTGGCTGGGGTGGGGGCCGTGAGATGAGCCCCCTTCCTGCTCAAGGGGTGTTGGGGGCAGCTGAGGTTGATACAATAGTGTTTCTGTCACCACATCCGGGGGGGGCAGGGGGGGCTGGGCTGGGGAAGGAAGTCTGAGGCTGGAACGAAAACCCAAACCACCACCTGGTGAAGCTGCTCCGAGCCCAGGATGAGGGGGGCGAGGCCACATGGAGCCCGCAGCAGGCTCCTCAGTGTCACCTGACGGCGGCCCACCTGCACCCTTTCTCCTTGAAATGCGAACACGGCCCAAGTGTGCCGTTTGCAGGACTCGCCCTCAAGTGCTCACAGGGCCAGGCCCGATTCAGACACTGGGGTGCAGCCCTCGACAACCCAGGAGGTGCTGGGACTTGCCCAAGCACACTCTGCTGGCAGGTGGAGGACTGAGTAAGCAGAGGGAGTGACAAGGGACAGAATACCAATTCCGGTCACTGCTGGAGGCCTTGAGCCTCCCCCAACCCCACCCTCTCTCTCTCTGTAGAGCCTTCACACTGCTCCCTACGTTATGGAGTTGTGAGGACCCAGTGAGATGGCCTGTGTTGACACTGGTCTGGTACTCCAGGGACTCTGGGCCCCCACCCCTCCCAGCAGCTCCCAGCTCTCCCTGCTCCACGTCAGCCCGGGTGTGGGCCAGGGAGGGAAGGGTAGCCCTCGGCCTCACCACTCCATCACACATCCCAGGGGTGAGGGTGGTGGGGGAGGGGGAGGAGTCTTGAGCTACACTGTCAATCATACCATGAGCTTGCCGGCTCTGCCCAGGCTGCTGCTGGGCCCCTGGGGAGAGCGCTCAGGGCCAGGAGGGGCCGGGAGATTCGGTCCTGTGCCTTGACTTCCGTTCCTGCACCCACTGTGCCCAGGCTCTGGCCCCCCCTCGCCCCCCTCGCCCTACCACAAAACCCCAACCCGTCATCATATCCCCTCTCCAAGCTCCACCCACTCCAGACAGAACCAGTTACTCCTCCCAAAGTCCCCGTCCCCTCAACAGTCAGCACCGCCACCCGTCTTACTCCAAAGGGTTTATTGAGGCAAGTTTCACATACACGTCCAGGACAGGGGGACAGGTTTATAAACAGGAATCTGGGAGGGATCTGAGGGCTCAGGATGGAATCCAAAAAAGAGTGAAATAAATAGAGGGAGAGAGTGGAGGGCCAGGAGAGGAGACAGACAGACTATCACACAGTGATAACGACATGGGGGCAGGGGGGTTCCATTAAAATCCCATTTATTTATACAGATATACAGGGAGTTATGGGGACCCTGGGGGACCCCACTCCATCCTCCATGCCCCAGGGAGGGGCAAGAAGAGGACATCTCTCCCCATGGGTGACCCTGTGAGGGGTAGGGGACTGCCCTTGGAGGGTTGAGGAAGGTAGGGGCAGGTGCCTCCCCAGAGGGCACCACCTGCTCCCTGGGCATTACTGGCCCCGGAGGCGTTGGGTAGTGTCTGGAAAGCTGTGCTGAGGGAACTGGAGGGAGGGTGGTGGACTGGGTGTGCTTCTGGGTGGGCCAGGCCCAGCACTCCCACTGAGGACAGCCTGGGCCCCGCTGGCTCCATGGCTCCTGGTGGACCTAGAGCAGGGCGTCTGGGGTTCCTCCCAGCACAGCTCCCACCCAGGTCTGGAAGGATGGAGAGGAATGGGGGTTCAAAGAGAGAACCTGGCACCTTCTGGCATCTTAGAAAAGCTGATCCCCAAGGACACCCAGCCCTGGTTGTGCTGCCCCAGAAGGCAGCTAGGAGACCAGGAGTGGGTGTCAGGGCAGAGATGAAACTCCTGGAGGCCATCTTGGAGGGTGATTTCTGAAGGAGGCAGCTCCCCAGGCTGAGTGCTGGGGAAGGGCGGGCCATGGGGGAGGGTCTCCCGCGGAAAGGGCCTTTAGCACCACCAGACTCAAGGCAGGCAGGAAGAGGCTGGGCCTCCGGGCCTCCAGGCTGAGGCTGTCACCTGTGGGAGACAGAAGGGAGGGGAGACTGAACCATGACCTGCAGGGCACAAGAGGTAAGGCAGCTCTGGGTCCCTCCAGGCCTCAGCCCTCCTCTGAATGTCCAGGGACTACACAGGACGCCCCAACTGTGACTGCAGGATTTTGCCACCCTAGGAAGGGCCAGGCAAAGAGTGTGGGTGAGGACACAGGGGCTTCTGCCCTTCTGGGCCCAGCCTCCCTCTTAGCCCAGCTCCTCACCTCAGTCCCACCTGCCCAGCCTCGCTCCCCGGCCAGGGCGGGGCCAGGTGGGCATCATACAAAGACCTTGGCCAGGGCATCGGCGCCCGCACTGGCGATGAGGGCCTTGCTGGGGTGGCAGGCCACAGCATGGATGGCCTCCTCGTGCTTCTTGCGGTGGGCCGTGATCTCCTGCACACACGTCTTGTTGTCCAGGCTCCACAGACGCAGGGAGCAGTCGTGGCCTGCGCAGGTGTGGGCAGAGCGAGCGGTCAGCCAGCAGCTCCGGACCCACAGTTCCTTGCTCAGATCCGACCCCCAACCTCTCGGCTGGCCTGTCCCAAGGCCTCGGAGTCAGGTGGAGGCTCAATTCTTCTCTTGCCTCCTCTGCCCAGTCACCTCCTGACATCCCCGCCTGTCACCCTCCATCTAGTCACAAGTGTTTACTGAACAACTACTGTGTATGGGGCCCTGGGGTTACAGTGAGAAAAACAGGCAAATCTCCCGCCCCTGTGGGAGACAGTAAACAAGAAAACAGAATGAACAACGCCAGGTGGTCGCGAGTGCTGTGGGCGTTAAGCCAGTCAGTGTGAGGACAGAATGGCCAAGGGGGTCAGGGGGAAAAGCCTTCCAAGCAGTGGGCACAGCCGGGGGGGAGCGGGGGGGAGGACCGACAGGAAGCACATGGGCTGCAACAGCCTGAGCAGCGGTGGCGAGGGAGGAGGTGGTCAGAGCTGGGCTGGGCCTTGGGGGCCAAGAGCCACCAGAGGGAGGTGGCCTGACTGAGGTGTTAGAGCAGCGGTTCTCAACCTGTGGGTCGCGACCCCTTTGGGGGTTGAACAACCCTTTCACAGGGGTCGCCTAAGACCATCGGAAAACACAGGTATAATTACATATTGTTTTTGTGATTAATCACCATGCTTTAATTATGTTCAATTTGTAACAA